TTACCTCACTCATATCCCACCGCCGAGCTAGGTTCCAGTTTACAATTGACGATACTTCTGCTGTGTGCTGTTTCATGGGACGGTCCCAGTGTTTTTTTCAACCGGATATATCAAGGAGTTCCAAAATTTTTCACCGTTCTTACGAGTGCTCCACAGCGATCCGCGGTATAAGCACATTCTTGAACACTGTTTTTCTTTGAGAACTTCCGGCTCATATTTTGCCTGCCTCGAACTCTTTTTTCCTACAGTCTGAGCTGATATTACCAAACCTGCACTCAATTTTATCAGATAATTACCGAAAAGGATGACGGCATGACGATAAGTCGAACACAGCAGATCTAGCCCTGCACGATAGTTTGAAACCACAACCGTTTTTAATAAAATGAAGCCAAAAAATGTGAGTGATCTATGAAACCTCAGAAGTATAAGTAAAGGATCATTTCAAACCTGATGGTCCAGTCAGAAGATTTGGAGAGCGTCTTTGTCTAGCAATGTGTACAATAACTCCAACAACCCCGTAATGTATGTAAATACGTATGCAATCTACAAGCTAAAAACAGAATAAAGAATATGTGCTTTATACGTATTTGTGAGTTTTGCCATGTGATTTAGACTGCTGTAGGTACTTTCACCATGTAAAATGAGAGCGCTGGATCCAAAAGTGTAAGGACATGTTGCAACAAAAAATAGGTGAAAGCTGACACCCGATTATTCAGGAAAGGATTGGCAATGGCACTGTATGTTCCGCCAAGTAGAAGTAAATACATGAAAACAATGTGATTAAGGCTCAATTCTGCAAGTATTTTTTCGAAATATTTGATAGGCCAAGAAAATCGTGTATGTTCTGAACCCCATGGTCACTATACTTCACGTTTATGCCCTGAAGATTATGGACTTGTGTTTATGCATATATTATTTAGCACGGTATATGTTCACAGTACTCATACATAAGTGTGCATGAATACAGTCAACGAATTGACTAACCGCGCACCATTATTGACGTAAGCCCGCGAAATCGCTCTCCCTGTTCGCCTAATGAAACACCTCAGTGGAGTGAACAAAAGGGAGATGTCACGGTACGTCGAGATTATTAGTTCCATCATCCTTCTCCATAAAGATTATTGATGCGGTTGAAGAAGTTTGAAACAGGCGGACCTCGTAGCAAGCGAAGGTAGAGGAGAGATTGGCGCGAACTGCTATTCGCTTTGAGAACAAGCCGTTTACATGCAGCAGACTTAGGCAGAAAAGCAAAGGCGGTCTACATATACAGGAAAGACAGTGCAAGAAGGTCTTATAATTGGAAATGCCTCTAGTGAAGGTATGAGCCGAACCTCCACGTCACGCGCCTGCTGCGTGAATGTTGGCACATACCTTTAATTTGTGCCAGTGTAACTTCCATTGACGTCGGTGGTACATGAAGCCTACGAATGACGTTCTCGATCCATGGGCAAAGACGCGAAGGATGAAGCTTTTGGGTCGGACTACTGAAACGAGACTTGTGGAATCATGGACCTGTTGGTAATGCCACTCGGCGAAAACTTTCACATTAGTGTCAAGGAGACCCGGCTCATGCACTTCATTTCACATCAAGTCAGCAGCGCTTATAAATCGTCACAAGCCAGAATGCTAATCATTTTATTTCATAGCCGAATTGCTGCTCATGACTTTGCTTGCGTTTGATTGGGGCAGATTCATTTATGAGTGAAAAAACAAAGGATTCTTGGTCTTGCATACTAATTATGCAACGATGTGAGCAGACGTTTTCACGTCCCCAGAATAAAGACTTGGTGCTTCAAAAAACGGGTGAAAGCCGACACTCAATAAATTATGCAAACTCCACATGGTATCAAATATTCAGAGACATAACGACGAAGCAATGCGATACCGAGTCATAGGTTGAGTATTGTTTGCCGGCTGTTGAAAAGTATTAGCTCATATCACGCCTTACGGAACTTAACATTTCGGAATGTAATGAAAATGCCATTGACTACTAGGAGCACGATGCACATGGAAGATCATCTCAAAACGATATCAAAGAGCGTTTGAGTTAACGTCATTCTCATCGGCTCTGTATCTCTTTCTATCCTCATTTTCAGTCGTCTTCTTCTCGACCCAGGCGTGGATAGCTCTACATTCATCGCATGTCATGTTTATCACATGTCCATATTTCTCTACAAATCACTGGACATAGCTCTTGTCTTATAGTGCCCCTCTCGGACGTTTTGAGGTTCTGAACCCTTTGTCAATTGATTTAGCCCATCACACAATTTGCGCCTCAGCGCCACATGTCTTTCATTAAATTTTTACCCCTCAGACTCA